GAGATATAAATTAATTTCTCGATTTCAATAAATAAATCGTTGATAATTAACACTTTTTATAACAAATATGATGTTATGGTCTTTCAAGGTTCATTCGTCCATCTGATTGATGATGAATAATGCCCCGATGATGAGGGATTAAGAGATGCCAGTGATTTTTTATCCCCTCTAGACACACCATCCAGTCAGAAAAAATTAAACGTCACTTGTATTTTACCTCTCGAATAACAAATTTTCCATTCAATCAAGAATTCTTTCACGTTTCAGTGCACGATCTGCCGCGTTGAAATCACTCTCGTGAGTACAGCAACCTTGCACTGTCTGACCTTTTCCATGTGTGTCCCGGTGTCTTTCTATTCACCTCCAATCACTGGAAAAAAAAAAGTAAAACCACCCACTCAATGGAGTACAAGTGAAAGAAAAAGAGTATAAAAAAAAATCGACGTTGTCCTCCATATGAAGTAAAAAGGGGAGTAAAAAGTATCGGTTGCATCTCAAAGACAAGAGATATATCCCTTTCATCATGGGGTAAAAAATATCAGGGGACAAGTTGAGAATGCAAGGAGTCAAGATACTCTGATGAAAAATAGAGAAAAATTGTAAAGAAACCGCCACCAGGTCTTATTCGGCCTCAAATCAAGGAACCAGACAGACCGGTCTCGTGTCTCCCAACCCCCAAACCGGGATGCACTCCATTTTTTTTTTTCACTCCCTCATTCCCTCGGTTTCGGTTTTTTACGGTTGTATCGTCTTTCTTTTTAAACGAGACTCAATCCCTGCGCCCTGGACGCCCTTCTCGCAGGTGTCCAGAGCGTGTCCAAGTGAGAGTTCATACCGTGATGGTGAAAAACCCAGAGGATAACCTTCTCCGTGGATTCTATACCGTAATAATTCGTAGATGGGGGATCTATAGATTTTCATGAATGCCTCATGGCTCCTGGCTTTTACAATTGTTCGTGGGGTAGCCCACCAGATGATCTCACGTGGAACGAAACATTTTTTTTCCTTCTAGCATGTTTTTATTTATTATTCGTCCTATTTTATTTATTTATTTTATATTTATTTTACTTTATCTGTCAACATAAAC